AGGGCCATGGTCCTAGGGCTTGCAGGAGGCAACCAAACAATATGCTTCTCTGACATCTATGATTCTCTGTCTTTTACTCTCTCTTCCACTCTCTCTAAAAATCAATGGAATAATATCAAATGAGAATTTTAAAAAGGAAAATAATTTAAAAAAAACTATATATGAAAAATTTTATTTCAGAAAAAAAATCTCTATGTGTATTACAGTAATTTTAAATTTATACTGAAGAGGTCTAGAAAATGTGATGTTTACTCATCACCATGAGTAAACAAAAGCACACAACAGGGATGTGGCTTAGCACCTGTGGAAACGTCAACCTCAACAAACAACTACAGCTCAGGAAGTGGTGTGATCATGTGCTAATCATTCCCTGAACATTGTTTAGAAGCAGTGACCCCCCTGGGTTTAAGTATGTTGACTCTAGTTGTAGACATGTAATATTTATTTTTGTCAGCAAACTAGTGTTTTTTTCCACCATATGTCTTATTTGCTAAAATTTGTTATTGATGACAGTGATTTAGTTAACAAACCACAACTACCTATTAATTTAATTATAAGCATTTATTTGTCAAAAATCATGTCAAAATTAACAGGCTGCAGCCATAGCCAGTTTGGCTTAGTGGATGAAGCTTGGCCTGTGAACTGAAGGATCCTGGGTTTGATTCTGGTCAAGGGCCCAGGTCTGGGTTCAAGCTCAATTCACAGTTCAAGGCATGCAGAAGGCAGCCAATCCATGATTCTCATCTCTCTCTCTCTCTCTCTTAAAAATCAATATATATATATATATATATATATATTTTTTTTTTTTTTTAAATAACAGGGTATTAATTTTCACAAATGACACAGAACCCAGAAACCTTATCAGATAAATTCTAATTCTATTAAATCAAGGTCCACAAAATCAAGCGTTCACTGTAATGTGATTTCACTTTATACTTTTAATTTTCTGTATTTTACAAAATAGCAGCTGTCACACGTAAATAAACCAGGCCTCAGATGCATATGCTGAGTTGTGTCAGGGATCTACTATAGCTATAATAGCCTACCACTGCCCCACTACAGGGTCTATTGGTTTACAGAGGGCCCATAGGTGTTGTTTCATTAGCAGCCTGCCCCTCAGGCAGCAGTTATGAAGATAAACAGGTTAGGGCTCTTCAGTTTAAAATCAACCTAAGGGCTCAGTGGTCACAGTTCAAGTCCTGGTCAGTAATTACTAAAACAGTAATTATAGAATATACTAGAATTCATATTTTGGGTTAATAATATGTGGTATGTTTTATGAAATGATATCCCAGAATTCATTTCCCACTTATTTATTCAGCTACTGAAAAAAATGATACCAAATGCATTCTTTTGTGACTATCTTGTTTGTGAAAAGTTCTATTGGAAAGATTGCTAGAGACCATGTTGTTGGGTTAGATCAGTGGTTGGCAAACTCATTAGGCAACAGAGCCAAATATTAACCGTACAAAGATCGAAATTTCTTTTGAGAGCCTAATTTTTTAAACTTAAATATATAGGTAGGTGCATTGTCATTAACTTAATTAGGGTACTCCTAAGCTGGCCTTTGCTAAAAACTCAAGGGCCCAATGAGCCGCATATGGTTCGAGAGCCACAGTTTGCAGAACATGGGTTAGATAATATATGGATATAAGGTTTTTGAGGTTACTACTGGGCTGTCCTGATACAGATGGCGATGGTCCTGTGCTGGCTGGTGTAGAGAGTAACTACAGTGTTTGGACAGGTACAATCCTGGGACTGATGAGAGGGCACAGTCCTCTCATGGCCACAGGCAAGTCCCAGCTTGGAAAGCAAAGCCCTCCCAGCACAATTAGAGCCAACAGCTAGAGTTGTAAGCTTGAACCAATGGTCCAAACATGTGGCCCCAGGTGTCTGAGTGATGTGGGCTTGATGGAGTTTAGGTTCATGTAATTGAGTATATTTGAAACCCATCAGAACGTTGTAACCATGCCCTTACTTTGCCTTGTGGAATATGGCCGTAAAATAAATAATGACTCGGCTAACAGGATGTGATGCTATCGCTAGCTCTCTGTGAGAGAGAAGAGTGTCCCACTCAGATCCAGCTTTCTTTCTGTCTTTTTCAGTCCTTCACTGCCCTCTCTCAGGCTCACAGAACCTGGCTGAGCTGGCTGGGCACAGGCTGGCTGACTGAGGCCTCTGAGCAAGTTTCCTAAACACCCATTGATTGAGAAGTGCGGTGAGGTGGACACAGCTCAGACCCAAAGAAGAGGGCAGAGGGCTTACAGGGCTCCTGCAGCTCCCCAAGATCAACAGCAAGGGCAGTTCCATGTATAGGCATCTGTCATTCCTTTTATAAGGAACAGTGTCCTTATAAAATAAGGGCCATCGAATCAGGTTTGTAGTTATAGTGACCAGAAGAGACCAATGAGTAGGACAGGTGGCCACAGGCAGCAACAGTGGAAGAAATGGATCCCCCAGCAGCATGGGACAGGTAGGGACCAGGATTAGAAAAAGGAGCAAAACTCTTGGTGGTTGGGGTCAGAGGAGCGGGTGGAATTTCAACCAGATTGTCCTCAGGGTAACCCCTATACCCTACACACAACAGCTCTATCAGCAGCTCCATAAAGAAATGAAGCTCAGGTTCCTTTGCTGGGATCTGCAGTGGGAGGAGCCAGCATCAAACATCTGGACAACTCCTACTCCCATCTCTGGGTGGCATGGGGCTATGGCTCCTGGCTGCAAAACCACAGGAAATCCTCCAGGGGTCAACCCGGGTTTGTGTCTCTTTCTTCTCAGCACTGTCACCTGCTACTGGGTGGTAGCTAAGGGTTTCATTGCCCTAGCCAGAGGTGGAACAGATTACTGAAAAAGATAATATAAAAACCAACTTTTAGTTAAAAACTGATACTGATTTGCACACTTTCACTTATTTTTATTATTTTGTTTTTGCACGATAAAATTACTCCATTTAGAAATTTAATGACACTAAAAGTATCACAGTACGTTTTATAGATTAATGACTTTGTCATAAGAACTTGGTTATCTAACTCATGTTTTGGTCACCAGTGATGAGAAAGTTGAGAGCTTTTAGTGTATACTGTTCATTTGTGTGTATTTTCATAGAAGCACAGTTTATACATTATAAATTAAGCAATATAAAATGTTAAATTACAAAAAATTCTAGTCATAATGGAACCCTGTAAAAACCACCACTAGCTATTAAAATTAAAATATGGTAAAAAAAACTTTTTATTTATAAACACCCATGTATTCTTTCCCGTGCTAGTATTTCAAATGTTAGAGAAGAGCCTCAGCATATCCTCAATGAAATGGGTGATGAATAATGTATTTAGTTAAAAATGTAAAAACACCTTAGTTACATTAGCACATAATTAAAAATACATTACATATAATTAATTAAGTGAAAGTGGACTCTCTAACATTATACTATGACTAGAGTCCTGACGTTCAAATTATATAAATACAATTTTATTTTGAATTTGAGTCTTCATGCAACTAACAAATTCAGCAGATGGTTTCCATCATATTGAAGAAAAATAGAATTTATATAAATTTTAAAATGCAATAATGAAAACTACATATTTGTACAAGAGTTTAATCAACAGCTACAGAGAGGGTGAATTGAATGATAGGCGTGAGGAAATGACACAGGGCTTCACAGCTAGACTAAGAGAGGATAAGCCAGGGAGTGATACTGAGACATGAAGATGATGATATAGCATTAGGTATTTTACATATAGACAGTATCCTTTCTAATAAAGTGGGAATATGCTAATTGACCATCATTCCCTCACAATGATGGCCAATAAGGAGGGAATATGCTAAATGACCTCAGCCAATAAGGAGGGAATATGCTAAATGACCATCATGCCCTCACAAGTATGGCAGCGCCCACATCCAATAAGGAGGGAATATACTAATTGCTTGTCACACCCTCAGAGATGGCAAAGCCCACATCCACAAGATGGCACCTAGTCCCCTCAGCCCTGCCAGGGCAGCAAGGGTGCGGCACAGCTGGGACCACCCCCATATTCCCCAGCTGCTCTGAGCCTGCCTCCAGAGTCCCCTGATCCCCTCACCCACCTAGGTGCCCAGAGCCAGCCTACAGCACAATCAAGCCTCAGGTAACCAGAACTGGCCAAAGCATGTGCTGCCAGCAGTGGCAGCAACAGAGATATGATAGGGGCATTGCCTTCCCCTGATCACCAGGTCAACTCCTGCCACTGAGGGCTTCCCAACTATGAGAGGGGGAAGGCCAGGCTGAGGAAGCCCCCTCCACTGCATGAATTTTCATGCACTGAGCCTCTAGTAGTATGTGAATAAATGTAGCTCTACACAGAGATACCAGGGAAGATGAGGAGAGTACTGATCTGAACAGCCTATGAATTTCTGTCTAGAACAGAATATGAATAACACTGAAGTATGCATCACTATGGTGAGAATTACAAAGGAATGCACAGCACAGGTTATTAAGTAACATTACTTCAAACTATGGATTATTAAACTGAGAGACCATGTGGAATAGAGTTAGCTGAAGATAAATTAGAAAATAATTTCTGAATTGCCATTAGTGTTCCTGTGTATGTGAATGTGTGTGTTTTATGTTTTTGCCATTGTGTCTCTACAACCATGTCTGCTTGGGAAGAGAATGAGCGATGCCAGCTCCCTTGCACTGAATCTTACTTTTCCAGATACCCTTGTCATCTCTAATTATACTTCCTCATAACAGTTCACAAATAAAGCAAAAAAGAGTAAACCTATTCTACACCATGCATCATGGGTGATGATTTTCCTAAACTGAGTAAAGCACAAACCAATACATATGTTTTGAAGGTTATCATATTTAATAATACAGTTAGTAGATATTCAGGACAACAAGGAAATGAAAAACATAAATGTATAACATATTTATCGTATTTGATAGGGCACAAGTAAATAGGGCTTTTTTAAATATAGGTGTTCCCCAGGACATAGAGAGATTACTAATGTATTTCTAGTCAGAAGTGACTACAGCAAAAGTAAGGCCTGAGACGGAGAGAGAAAGAGCAATAGGAGATCCTACATATAAGGGAACTTTGTGCTACATTTACAAAGGTCACACTTCCACCTTCATAATCCAGGAATACCCCTACTAGGCCAATAGTTTTGGGCACATACTGTAGTACAAGTGGGTTGGTGGTGAAGACATTGTGGTGAATGTTGGTTTTAACACAGCCAAGAAGATAGTATGCCTTATGGAGATTTTTATTCATCAATATCCAATCATCACAAGTGACTCCTAAAGCCCAATTCCAAATGTCTCCCACATATATCTCCCAGTAATGTCTCCCGGTAGTAAAAGTCTGAGTATTCCAGTACATAAAACACTCATATTGTGGAAAGGGACATGGTTCACCTTGAATCATACATCCAATACTCAGGCTTATCAAATCTCCCTGTAGGAAGACATGACTGTGAGGTCTTCCAAAAATCATAGAGGTATCCACTGCAAAAAGAAAAAAAAAGTTGGGTAGACACATTGCAAATAGAAGTCCCGATGAAAACATCATTCTTCCAAGATGTTACTTTATTATGAGGTCAAAACAACAAGAGCATTGTTGGTTATCACCTCTAATAAAGCACAGAAATGACCAATACATGTGCAGCAAACAGATGCCTAATCACAGACATTTGAAAATTTTTTTGAAATTCAAATGTTTAGGGTCAAATATAAGATTCATGTCACCCTAGCCAGTGTGACTGTGGGCAGAGGGTTGGCTCAGGCAATTCAGGTAATTGGGTTTGATTCCAGTCAAGGGTGCATCCTGGGTTGTACGTTCCATACCCTGCACCTGCATCTGTCTGGGTATTTGGAATACCTCTCTCTTATTCTCTCTCCCTCTCTCCCCATTTCTCTTTCTCCCCTTGTGGCTCAGTGTTTGAGTGTTGACATATGAACCAAGAGGTCAAGGTTCTATTGCTGGTCAGGGCACATGCCTGGATGTGGACTTGATCCCCAGTGGGAAAATGCAGGAGGTAGCTCATCAATGATTCTCTGTCATCATTGATGTTTCTATCTCAGCCTTCCTCTCCCTGACTTACTTCAATCAATAAAAAATAAGGTTGTATATATCTCCTTGGGTAAGGATCAAGAAAAAAAGACTCATATACCAAGTTCACTTTTCATAGCAAAATGGCCAATACATAATATTCTTTAAATTGTGTTCCATTGTAAAAAAATTAGAATCAGAAGAACATTTCTTCTAAATAATCACATCATTATTTTGGAAGGGAAATGAAGATTTGCCAGGAGTCAAGCATTTCTCTAGATAATTTAATGAAATCCAATTTATGTCCATTTTAATAGTCTGTTAAAATTGTGTTTGCAAACCCCTTCACCAGTCCCTCTGTCCTCTATCCTGGCTCTGGGCTGTCAGCATTTTGAGATTTAACATGTACCTCTTTAGGTTATGATTTAACATGTACCTCTTTAGGTTATGAATTTTGGTGTCTTTTTACTTTGTTGTTTATAAAAATATTTCTTCTATTAACTCCTCCATATTAATTCAATTATTTACATTACATGACCATTGTAAATAAAAATACAAGGAAACCAAATAAGATCCAGTATTTAATATATCACACAAAAGTGCTTAGCATTTGAAAAGTATACTGAATAAATGTACAATTTTGTACATAAAATTGGAAAATTAACCATAAATCTGAACATTTTTACTCAACTGCTCATTTTTTATATCATTCCTTTACCTATAGAAAACTCACTATTTATGAATCTGAATCATTTCTGTTTTTCACTACCTTTCACTCTTGGTATTATAAATGAAAAGACATGTCCTCTTACTGATGTATTATACAGTCAAATGATTCACTTATGTCTGAAAAGAGTGACACACTTATAGAAGAGGGCAGATTACCTGCATGGCCCTAACAACACAGGATACATAATGGGAATATGACCCATGGGCCTGCACTTACCTTTGAACAAGTTGAACCTTGCAATCATCCCTGGGATGGTCACTGCAGTGAGCTCTGCTTTCACAGGCTGGGGCATGTGCACACACACTGCCTCACTCCTGCAAGAAGGAAGAGGAAGCTACCATGTTCTCAGTCAACAAAAAAAAACCCACTATTTTCATGTATAAGATACTTTCATGTATAAGATAATAATACAGTAGAATTATTTAAATCCATAAATTTGAAAACCCAAAAGTATCACTTTGCCAAATAATTCTTCTATATAGTTCCTTAATTTTCAAGTCTAATGGAAAGTCCATTTGAACTAGAATTCAGTCTAACCCTTTCTCATCTTGTCCAAGAATTTGTAAAGATCCTCAGTCTCTTTTGTCCTTGAGGATATTCAAGAAGAAAATTCTGGATTCCACAGAAATGCTCCCCGTCTGGAAATGATGGGTTCTTGAAGACTAGTTTGCCTAGTGCACACTCTCAACATAGGGGCTGTGAAACTTTTCCCAGGCAGGGGGGGTCTGCTTTCTGGAGGGGCCCCACATAATTCTTATACTTAGAGAAATTGTTTCATCTGTTTTTTAGGACTGTCAACTGCTATGAGTAGATCAACAAATCACCAGGGCTTTCTCACTGCTGGGCATTTCCTTAGCTTCTCACCCAGATTCCACTAGCTCTGTCTCTTAGGTATTTGACTTTCTCATCACTCAGAAAACTTAGCAGCTTCTCCTTCATATATATATAGGATTTTGAGAACTAAATTGGGATGAGGGCATTTCCTTTAGTCAGTTTTTTGGTGTGTTTTTTTGTTTGTTTGTTTATTATTATTATTACTATTATTATTATTATTATTATTGCAATTTATCCAATGAAACTGCCAAATGAAATCACTGTATATGGCAATCAAAAGATACACAGAGTTGGAAAGGAGAAAATAGATACAGGAAAAAAATTCAATCAAGATCCCAATAAGTTAGCTGTCTTCACATTCGCATATCTGCCGTTTTCCATGAAAACTCTGAAAGAACATCAGCTGGTATCAATGTACAGACTCACCTGTTCAATATGTCTCCAAAATCCTGTGGAGATAAATAGAAAGGTTGAATGCTTTTTACCAAAGCCTATTCCACTAGGTCCATGGGAGATTTTTTTTTTTCATTTAGTTTTTTTTTTCTCTGATTTTATTTTTTGCTCATTATTTATTTTCTGCTCAGTTTCTCCAGAACTCTGGTGAGCAATTTTGAGATTGTTTCCCTACTCTGTTTCTTCATGGTAAACATACCTACTTTCTACTTTCTTTCCCCAGTTTATCATATTGTCATAAAACTCATGTTCTGCTGGAGACTGATTGCTGGAGACTTTCCATGGGCCAGTATCCAATAACTTTTCTATTTCCAATATGGGTACACCCAAAAATGACAGCAATGTAAGTGTACGATAGATCCCCAAAGCTCCCCATATTGTCATGTCTCTAATTAGCCTTAATATCAATAACCCCTCTACCATTTTGTGCCTTTCACAAAGCTGAAATATATCATGGTCTTTTAGAGGGGGAATCAAACTCAGGATTCTTTTACCATCTCACAGAGTTTTGTTTCTTATGGATAATGTAGGAGGGATATTTGGTTTGTGGGGTTCCATGGAGGAGCAATACTCCCCCAACAAAGTAACTGAGGTTATAGAAATAGGTTGTTGGACACAAATGCCATAAAAGAGGAGATGGATTTTCACTAAAGGAATGCCAGTGCACATGAATGTTCAACACCCCACTTCTGAGTTCTTACCAGGAGCAGCTCTACATCAGGTTTATGGCACATTTCCTTCAGCTCTGTATACATTCCTCTTAAAAGCTCTCTCTTGTTTGCCATCCTGGCTACACTGTCCCTGAGTTGGTAAAAAATCGCCTTGCCTTCTCTTTGCAGTCTCTCTAAATGATGATGCTCATTCAGATAGAGAAATGGAGGCAACTGATCATATTCAACTCTGATAGCTTCACCCTTTGAGGTCACATAAACCTGCAAAGACAAGGAGTTAGTCAAAACATGAACCCTGTCATTCATCTCTTACTGAATCTCATTCATATTTCTTTGCCTTATAAAGATCAATTATATTTAACCTTTAACCCTCAGTATTGCCTAGGCTCAGAATCCACATGTTCTCATTCCTCATTTCCATATATTTTTAAATGACCAATTATATCCTCTTCTTTCATAATGAAGCCTTTCATAAGAAAACCACAAAGAAAGGCAAATGTCTGATTTCTATCTCCCAGCCAATATATGTAAGAAGGCAACAGAACTTATCCATAAAAAATGCAATTTAGATTTATATTAATTAGATTAGGCATCCTTAGTTCAGTTTCTGAAATTTGAGTCAGATTACTTCATGCTGTGACCTCAGACTGATATATTCATCCCCTTGCATTTCAACCAGCTAAATCCTATCCTGAGGAGGTTTCATTGACAATTTGACTCCCATTATCTCTGATTTTATTTCCTTTCATTCTCTTCTTAATTTACTCTGATATTCTCTCAGATCTTTCTGGCTTTTCAACTGTCCCAATATGTATGCCTGAAATATCTTTGCATGTGCCATTTTTTCCATCTAGAATGCTCTCTCTACATACCCTTGTGGTTTCCTTCCTCTTCAGAGATCTTTTTATAAGATGAATTTTTCAGTGAGGTCTTCTCTGATGGTCCATTTTATTTAGAACTCAAACCCACATGAGCAGTCCCTATTATCCCATACTGTGTTATTATTCTACAAAGAACTTATCATTTATCATATGTTATACTTGTATGTATGTTGACTATTCACTCTTTGATTTATAGTGTAAGCTTTATCAGGGCAAGGATAGTTTCTACTTCGCTTACTGCTGTATTTTTCTAGATCAATTGTGATACAAAGTGCTCATGAAATATGTGTTGAGTAAATTCATATTAGATATCACACTTTCAAGATAAACATTTAAATTCAGGAAATCCATTATTCTTAAATTCCCCAAAAGTGTTGAAACATCTCCTTTAATTTAGATGCCAGGGTCTATATTTGACATATTTATATGTATTCCTCATCATTTGTCACTTTTCTCCTCAGACGTTATATATTACAATAGGGCCGGTATACACATTTGTGCACAGGTGGAGTTCCTTGGCCTGGTTGGTGATCTGAGCCAAATAAGGGAGCTTGCTGGCAGGTTGAAGGGACTGTGGAAGGTTAGCTGGCTGCCCCTGCATTGGGGTCAATTGAAGACTGGCTGCCCAGCCAGGGTAAGAAACCACAGGTGGTTGGGCAGCTAGGGTTAGGGACCATAGGGAGTTAGCCTGCTGGCTGGGGGAGAAACCACAGGAGGCTGGCTGGCAAGCCAGGGGGAGGTGTCATGGGAGATTGACTGCTGACCTTCTCCCTGATTGGGGCTGATCAGGTGGGCCAGCCGGTCAGCCAGCAGGATGAACCACAGGAGGATGGTAGGCCACAGGATGATGGCTGGGGGAGCATACTCCACACCAGGGGGCAGGAGAATGACTGTAGGAGCATACTCCACACCAGGGGGCAACTCCTGTGTTGAGAATCTGTGCCTTAGTGATTAGATCATATCATAATGACCAGTCAACCGGTCCTAGGGTCATTTGATCACTTAGGCTTTTATATATATATAGGTTCAAAATTAATTACTTGGGGGTAAGTTCAGGGCTTCCCTGGATTGGTGACATTGTTCATTCTTCCTGAAATTTTCCATCTGTTTTCAAAAACTACTTTTCCAATATTTACATGAATGTTTATAATGCCTCAGATCCTTCAACTGAATTTTCAATGGCTGCCAAATGTCTCCTATACCCTATTATTTACCCCCTTCCTCCACATATGGCACTCTGTGAAATGGCCCAGTCTGTTGTGGTTGTTGGTGTGGAAGTGATAAATATTGTTTATCCGGAGAGCAAACCAGCATGCTTTATGTGACAGCTGTCATTTTGTCATTAAGTGACTGAGAACCCAACTATCTACCTATGGAGAGAAAATTTCCTTTTCCTATTGATCACCCTTCCCATATTGAATCCCAAAGAACACTATAGTGTCAGGAAGTTCCTATTTTAAAGTCACTCATCCAACCACACCGTGTTCGTGCTAAAGGTTGGGGAAATGCAAATACCAACCTCCCAAGTTCTGTATGTGATAGTTTCTACTTTCAGATTTCTGTCATTTTCATAATATTTCTCCCATAAAGAGCACATTGTCTTGAGGAGTTTCTCCTGCAAAAGGACCACAAGAGTCAATTGGAGCTGATAAAGAGGAGAATGTAACATTTAGTCCTCACAGAGGGAGGGTCCCCAGAATGAGTGATAGATCAGTGCCACTGAAAACAAGAAAATCAAAGAGTTGCCTTGTTTATATCACATATTTGTCAAATCTGGGAGACTTCACACTAAGGAATTCTAGGGCAGAGATTCTGAAAGGAACACCTGGAGTAATCCCATCCCCAAGGAAACAGACCCACAGGAATTTCATACTCACTTTACAGAAGTGGGTCCAAAAGGGCATCACTTACCCTGAGATGCTCAGCCCCCTCTTCTGCTGAGCCATGTCTGTGAGCCCTATGATCCTGGGAGGTAGAGCAGTGCAAACAGAACAGGCTCCTCTGGTCCTCACAGAAGATCTGCTTTGCCTCCATGTGTATCCTACACCTATTGTTCCTAGAGCGCAGGAATTGCCACAGGCTGGCTTGTCTGACAATGAGAACCATTTCCTTGAGAGTGACATTTGTATGAAACTCTCTCTTCTGGATTGCTTTCTGGCATTCAGAGCAGTAAGCAAGAACTGACCTGTTCGGCCAGTTGAGGTTGAAACAGGGCCTGCAAAAGCTGTGCCCACAGTTAATGGTGATGGGGTCTATGAAGTAGTTCCTGCAGATGGAGCAGATGAGTTCTTTCTGGAAGACTTGCAAGATGTGATCCATGTTTCTGGGAAGAATTAGCAACAGGTCATTTCTTATTTGGGGTAGAAATGAGAGGCTTCTGAATAGTTATATGAGGGTAGTGATGCCCATATTTTTTTTCTCTTTGCAATATTCCCTAAAGCAAGACAACCTATTTATGTCATGACGCAGATAAAAGCCTGGAGCCCAGAAAGTGTCCTTGGGCTTTTACCACAGACATGGTTCTCACTAGATGGCTTACATAATCCTACACATTCAGTTCCTAGTCCTTATCTAAATACAAATGTGTGCAAGTATCCATTTCCAGAATGTGGGATATAGCATTTTATTACTGGTCTTAATTGTTCTAAATCAATCAGAATTGTCCCCATTCTTCTTTTCAATAACTAGTTAGTGAGTATGGAAGTGTGAGATTTACCCCACAAATCTATTTAGCCAATAAATCTGAGAGGAAGATGGCCAGAATGGTTCTATGAAATGATTTCAGAGAGAGGGTCAAGGAAACCTAGCTCTCTCCTTTAAAACAAACAAATAAGGAAACAAACAAACACAAATTGAACCAATTGAGATTCATCAGAAAAAAAAATATGAAAGAAATTAGGCCTTTTCTGAATTTTTGAGGATTAAATTAACTTCTGTTTATACAAACTCTGAACTGACATATTTTTAAAATATAAGTATATTATCATTACAACAATTAAGTGAATGTTCTGTAAGTGTTGTTCTCTATAATGCTCTGGTATAAAAATATAGGCTAAAGGTTTAAGTAAACATTTTTCTTGTTTTTTTAAATAAAAAGTAGATTATTTTTAAATTAAAATATACTTAAGCATTTGCATGTACAAACTTTACTTTCACAGTACTAGGAGTTGACTTTCATTTCTTTTTTTATCTTGGAAGCATTTTTTATTTTGTTTTGTTTACTTAACCCTCACTCCAGGATATTTTTCCATTGATTTTCAGAGAGAGGAATGGAGGGGGTGAGACACACAGAGAGGAACCCATAAACATGCCTAGAACAGGGCCAGGGTTGGAGCCTGCAACTGAGGTACATGCCCTTGACCAGAATCAAACCCAGGACACTTCTGTCCACAGGCCAACACTCTATCCACAAAGCCAAACTGCCTAGGATGCTTTTCATCTCTGAATAAGGAAAAAAGTAAAAAGATAAGAACTGTCAATTAAATTTAGAGTCCAGTCAGAGTTTACAGGAACTTTTTTATACTTAAGGAAATGTAAGCCTAAAGTGAAATGATGTGTAAGCCTAAAGTAAAATGACAACCAACATCATATGGAATATTATACCTTGAAATACATTTAACTGGTCAAACAATTGTGATCTAATGTCTAAAATAAGTATTTCACTGAGCCTTCTCATTTCCCATAGATCTGTATCTCTAGTCATTTTCTTAATAACTTTAAGTCAGGTATAAAAGTTAAAAATTATGAAGGGACATTATTATAGTTTTCAACAATAAGATATACCTAATACTTTCATTACATATATGTATATGTATAAATATATATTAATATAAAGTCCATTTGTTCGCTACTCAGCAATACCTATAGCACTAAACACTGGATCTTTTAGATACTTTGCTATAAAATTACATGTTATTTGACAACTACCTTCTGAGGCATAAAAATACATAAAACCCACAAAATATACCAAATAGTAGATTATACCTTGGTGATTCATAAAAGTACTTAGTAAGAATATGAGTTAAAATTGTATAAATTAGTAGATTAAAGATAAAATATGTTTAGCACCTAAATAGAAGGTATTTTCTTGACATAATTTTTACTCACCTTGTGTTCTGTGAATGGTTTACACAAGGATTTTTCCAAAATGAATTCTCTGAAACACACCTCAGGCTGAGGAGCCCACTGGCTGCAGTGGTCTGCACAGGGCAGCCACGTTTAAGTGCAGTCTGTCTCCTCTAAAGAAAAATAAACTTGTGTCATGTAGATCCTTTTACTAGAATGTTTGAAGATCACATCCTTTTGTTATTATATTTTTGTTAATCCTCACCAGAGGATATTGTATTCCATTGAATTTTAGAGAGAATAGAAGTGGAGAGACACAGAGAGAGATACATTGATGTGAGAGAGACACATTAATTGGTTGCCTCCAGCATGCACCCAAATTAGGGCCAGACTGCAACTGAGGTAAGCCCCTTGACCTTAATAGAACAGGAGACTTTTGGGCCCTAGGGACATTGTTTTAACTACTGAAAAAACTTGCTAGGTTTACACCTACCTCTTTAGATTGTAACTCTCCAGTATTTAGCAAGATGACAATAGGAGTTCATGACCTATTAACAACTCAATTTTGGCCCATTGATTAAGTTAAAAACCAGCTTTGTTTCTAAAAACAACTCTCTGAATGATGATTCAAAAACATAAATGCTATCAGAGATGCTATCACAGATGCTAAACAATCACCTATGATTCATTTAATAATACTTATTGATTTTTTTGAGTGAGTGGTAGACATTGCTTAAAGGGATCCTCTAATCCCAAGTGGGGGAAATCTGCTCTAGGTCCATATAAGGCCCCAAAAGCATTCTCTCTGATCCTGCCAAGGCACTAGAAGTGAGTAATTTAAATGTTTGATCAAGTACAGCAGGATAATTTTTAAGCTGACAATTTTTATGGCCTTCAAATGATGTTATAAATATACAAATAGCCCTTAGCAGAAAAAAGTCCCTCCCCCCCCCTCACTACAGTTTAATCTATGGACATCACAAATATTCCCTGGAATAGACCAATAGGGAACACTCCCTAAAAATCACAATACTTTCCCATTCTGAGACTTAAAAATAATCACTAATTATCCAATACTTGGAAACTATTATTAAATTTACAAAAGTTTTGTCAATCTCATGTTTATAACAATTCTTTTGATTTGAATTTCTTTCTCCTTATTGTTAAGAGTCACCTTTTCTGTTTATTTGCTTTTTTTTCTTCTCTATAAATAAGCACTTTAATAAAATTGTTGATTTTTCTATTGGGTAATCTATTACTTGTATTATCTATAAGTATAGAATCTTCATTGTATTCTAAAAACAAATCACTTTCTTTTTAAAGTGACAGATATTACACGCATAGTAAATCCCATTCATGTTCTACAAAGTGACACAAACACTTTACTAGCAAGTACTGAAGCAATATTCCCTGTGGAAATATAGATTAATCTCCTTCCAGCCTCTGGTCATAGTATGCTCTTCTATCAATTAGTACATAAACTCTTTTTATCTGTGTTTCTATTTAAAGATGTCATAGTTAATATATATTGTGTTTATATATTAACATTGAATTCATGGCCAACAGCACTAGAGCTCATTCCCTAAAGATGCTTATCTATCAGATACATTATCTCCATAAAGCATAGCCAGTGCTTTGGCATTAAGGCTTGGGCTGTTTTAAACAGTGATGCAACCAACAGCCAGCACCAAAATGCCAAAAATCTGGCATAATTTACCATGAAAAATAAACCTACTGTATGAGCTTCTCCTTATTCAAACTATGCTTGGACTATTCAATTAGCAAGACTCAAATTTCTCCTCAGGGCAAGTCCAAGAATGGCTAGGAAAACACCATGAGTATTAGTTTTAGGATTATAAATAAGACTTAGTGAATAAGCAAATTTGTAACTAAAGAGGAAGGACTGGCTGTATTTTTCTTGATACGCTTTATTTATGTGTTTTTATATGAAAATGAAATAAAGAAAATTTGGAGAGGGGCTATCTAATATTTTCTTTTTAAAAATATGTTCTTTCTTTATTTTCAGGAAGAGAGGAAGGCAGAGAGGGAGAGAGATAAACATCTCTTGACCAGCTCCTCCACACCCCCTACCTGGTACTGACCCAAAAACCTGGGCACATCTGTGAATGAAATCAGAAACCTTTTGGTGCATGAATGATACCCAACCAACTGAACCAGACTGGCCAGGGCCTAATATTTCCCAGACAAGAGTTCTTTGCCAACGGACCACAAGATTTATGGTCAAGACTGTCACAGCAGTGAAGAAGGATCTATCAGTGCTGTCAATCAAGGCTCCACCACAGAAGCAGAACCAGTAATATGGATCCATGTACAGATTTATTACAAAGAACTGACTTCCATGATCATAGGGGCTAGGTAAGCAAGTGTGAGATCTGTGGTGGAATAAGTCAAGAAGAGAAATCACCAGCAGGCTGGAACCCAAAAAGCATTTGTCACTCTCAGTGAGGAGTTTCTGGAGCTATACAGGACCATTTGATGTTTGGAGTGTTGTTCAAAAATTGTCTATACCTTTCCTTAAATGACTTTCACTGATGAAGTCAGGACTTGAGAATTTCTTTAACTCACAGTCAAAATAAAGGACTTTAGTTACACCTGCTATCTTTTCACAGCACCAAGTAGTTTAACCTTTGATTGAATAATTAGGTAGGAGGTATGTGTGTTTGAAAAAAAAGAAAAAGAAAAAAGAAAGCTTGGTGCCCTCATTTCCTTATATACTTCAATATGCACTTTGAAGTGAGATAAATGTTTCTTAAGACACTAGAGTATTTCCTTCCCTGTAGTTCTGCTTAACTGAGTCAGCACATCAAAAAGCTATCATAAATTGATATAATAGTAAAATTAAGAAATATAAGAACAGGTCTTGTTCCGTTCTAGGTTTACCATGTAGGACCATCCACAGAATGCCCTGGATGTATCTTCTCTAACTTAATTCATTGATAATGTTAATAAATATTTCTGATTCCATTATCAATAAATTGAAATTTTAGCCTTTACACTCACGGTTATCTTGATTGATATCAGTGAGAATTTTTTCTTTCAGATCGTTCAGTACTGTGGTTTTTCTTTGCATGTGGAAGCAAGCATTTGCTTTAGAATGTTAATAAAACCCACTAGTTAAAAACTTATAAGATGCCGAGACCTGTTTGGCTCAGTGGATAGAGAATTGGCCTGCGGACTGGAAGGTTCTGGGTTCGATTCTCGTCAAGGGCATGTACCTTGGTTGCAGGCACATC